AGGTGGATAATAAAAAGAATGAAATCACCGACTTCTCTGACAGAAGTGAGAATTATTGCAGAAATAGCACCGTCTCAAGCCTTGAAACCATGTTTAATACATTCCTGTTAAAAGCATAACCCCGATGCACATGAATGTCAAGACATAATTATAGGATCCCAGAAGTGTGCCCAAATAGAAGGGACTACCCCACACAGAACAAGATGTCCCAGCACCCCACTGACTGATGCCAGCTCCATTCACCTGGCATCAGCACTGGATTTTAGCTGCTCAATCCAGATCTGTGCCCAAGAAAAACTTGAACACTTGAACTCATTCAAAACCGTATCTCAAAACCATATCTCAGGCAAAAGACAGCACTCACCTCGGGAACTGAAGAGTCCATCATTGTAACGGAAACAGGAAGGTCTGCATCAGTATAGTTACCAGCAGAGCATATTTTCCACCTGGCAATACACATTTTATTTGCCTATTGCCCAAACAACAGTGAGATATATTGCTCATTTACCTTAAGCGTATAACGGAAGTCACCACTATATGTAGACTCAGACAGCTGGTCTCTCTGAGAAAGATAAATTTATCACTAAAATAAAACCCTCCTCCCAAACCCACCACCACTCCTTCTCTCAATCTCCTCCACACTGCACAGTTCTACAGAAACACAGTGGGTAAATCTTCAAGAGCTGCTGAGTCTTTTGTTGCAGACTGCGTGCCTCTGCATTTTCATGACCATCCTTATTTTTTAAAATACTCACACATTAGCTTTCATAATCTTAAGTAGATCAATCCCTATTTTAAAGATCTAAGGAGTCAGCTTGATAAGCTAAGAACAAAAAAGTGACTCCTCAAAGTCAATCAAATTTTGACTCCTTAACAGGAATGTCAGCTGCAAGTTAAATACTGAAAATAGACACAAAAACACCTATATCATGCCTCAGTTCTCCAGCATGACAGGGAAACATCATCACTAGTTTTGGCTGGCTGTCATACAAACAGTTTAAGTAGAAAGTTTTAATATTACTTCTCTGATTAGAAACAAAGTGCTAGCCTAATAAGACCATTAGCCGACCACCAAGTGTCCAGTATTTCCTCTAAGGGATGTCTTGCTCTTGAATTCCACATGCTGCTGGGGATACAGCTTGACCTTGGAACCCACTAGATCCCCTGGACTCTTCCAGCCTTAACCCCAAAGGCATTATTTGCCATCTTACTTGTGTCCCAGTTCACAGCTTTCGAACATGGAGCTGCCAGAGCTCAGTCTACAAGGATGATGCCAGCTGTGCACAGGAGAGTTATTCAGGCATGAGGTTTCCAAAGCCAGAGCATCTGTTATGAGAGAGAGATGTGAGAAGTGGTGGTCATTAGCAAATCAGAATTTAAGACAGGTGTCAAATTTTAACAAAGTCTAAGCTAATCAAAGAAACAGACCAATCAAACAGATTTATAGTGAGACAGCTTCCATCTTGGTATGAAGCCCTGGATAGGTGGCCTTATCATATTTTGTAGATGGACAGTCTGTAGCTCCTAGGGATTTTCCATCAGTCAGGCAAGAGAAACCTCCATATAGACAGCTTTGTGGCAGGGAATTGTTTTGTGTGGCAGAGAGGGCTGGGAAATAGAACTTCCTTTTTCTATCAATACTTGATTGGTGCAAGCTGAGAATACTTGCCTGATTTGTGGCTCAGTTGTGATATTACAGCAAGTTGCAAGAACACCCTGAGCTGGTGCACTTAAACAGCCCGCTCTGAGTGCTCTTATAAGGTGCACACGCAGTCAGGCAAGATCTTCTGTTTCTCCCACTACAATGTCAAATTACATTTGAGTACTTGATAGTTTGCGTGCAAGGAAACCCTGTGTTGTACCAGCGTACTGCTGGAATAAACACATTGTCTGTAAAATCTGAAACGTTCTCTGCAGTTCTGTGGCCCTGCAATGCTTACCTGCCAGTGGTTGCTTTTAACACTTACAAAGCTTGAGATTGTTGCAGGGAAGTATAAACACTTTATGAATGCAGAAAAATCAACAAAATACAATTATTTGGTTCTCAGTAGCTATGTTACCTCTTCAAGTTTTCAAACCAGAAGTGACCTCACCTCAGCAGCCAACCAGCAGAACATTACTTGTACAACTCAAGCGCCCTTGATCCAGACTGCCAAGCACATTGTCAGGAATATACTTGGATGAATGGATTTATACCAATAGTTCCTTAAGTTTTTGGGGATTTCTCTTAGGCTGGCACCTTTTCAGGGCTTTCATTGCAATCACTACAAACATGGTTCAGCCTCCTGGATTTCATGCAGAAGTAGGCTAAAGCCATCAACAGATTTTTCTCCACTATAACAGCACACTTAGCACTATTGATACTGTTCTATCAACAGCATCAACCTATATTTCAGGAGACAGACAGAAAAATGGCCAACACCACCAGGTCTTACCTAACAGAGGTGTACTACACCAGTATGAAATTCCCAAGGGCAATATCCTGCAAAGTTCAGCATACAAGATGTGTCCTTCACTCCATAGCTGTTTAGAGCAGTTGAGCTGCTAGTTGAAAGAAGAAAGTGCTGCTGTTGTTCAATAGCACTGGGTACATGAATGCCACCAACTCCTCTCCCACACACAGATACAGTTACATCTGCATAATGTAATATTATATGAATACATTATCTGTTGCTGTTTTTTGTCTAGAAAAGTTCACATCCTTAATGGGCAGAATAAATACAGGAAGAGGTAAAACTCCACTTTTCATTTGCAACAGACGTGTTGATTCAAGTTGAATCTGAAACTAGATGCTACAAAATCAAGCAAGATGAGCAGGACGGGAGAACCTAAATACTGCCCAAAACCCTGTGGGGAAAACCCAAATCAAACCAAGCACCTTTCAGCCAAGATGAAGAGACAGACTGTGAAGGGGAACATTCCTCAGGTGTCCAGAAGCTATGTCCAGCAGCAGGAGGAGGAGGGCAGCTCCAGCTTTGGCTGCATGGAGATGATGGGCCGCCCACCCCCAACCCTTGCTCTTGAGTGCACAGCACTTGGTTGCTCTTTAGTGCTGAAGAGCCATCGTCTGGAGATGGCTACAGGAAACCTCGGAAGCAACACTTAGGAGGCTGCATTTGGCCCAATGTTGCTTAAGTGGTGAAGAATGAAAAAGTAATTAGCAGATATAAACCCATCTTCAGTCCCCAATCCTTCTCAAAATACACTTATTTTGTCACAGTAACTGTTCAGAAGCAATAGGGACCTGGTTTTGCAGTGAGGTTTTGAAAACACTATTTTATGTCTATATATATGCGCATACATACATACATAAACACACATTTCAAATTTTTCAAAATTTACTGAATGCTTAACTTGGCAAAGTTTTTCACAAGGAATGTTGTTTATATCCTGCAGGTTGTGGGGGAAAAAAAACAAAAACAAAAACACCAAAACCAAACGCCCAAGCACAAAATAGTGCCACATTTTAACAGTCTCAACAACAGTCATAGCAAGCACACTCACCATCCCTTTTATTGGCTCAGCTAATGTGTGCAGCAGACTATAGTCAGATTCTAATTCTGCACAGCACTGTTGCAAGAGAGTTTAAGGCAGGCAGACGTAGAAGAAAAAATTTTTTTTTTTTAAAAAAAGGAACACTACTAGTGATTATGAAGAAAATGAAGTTTGGTCTTTCCAACTGAATTGCTTTCAGCTATCAGGAAAACTATGAGGTTGTTCCCCCTTGCTACTTTCAACCTTTAGTTATGGACAAATACAAGTTTTATTCACATGCTGCTGGTCCACAGTTTTCATTCTGCTCCTCTGATGCCCCTGTTACAGCCTTGGATACATTTTAGGATCTTCTGTTTGTTTTTTAAATGTTTGCTATTCTATGTTAAATTCTAAGCATTCAGACCCCGAGGTATCACATTCTTTAATAAAGCAGGTTGGAAAAAGTTATCCCACAATGTCTCACCCTCTGCTCCTTTCCAAACCTGTACAGTGTTTTTATTTAAAGCAAAGCACTCCAGATTTCTATGATTTCTAACACATTTCCACAGAGCGACACAAAGGTTACAACTCTTTCACTGCCTATTCCAATGCTTAAATACTGAAAAGTGTTTGATTACAAGATTTTAATAATTTGTTTTCAAGACTGTCTACAGAAGAGGGCTGATTGTGGGGGACAAACCACACCAATGTATCAGGAAAAGCTTCCCTCATCCCAGGAGCACCAACAAGTGTTTATAGTAAGGCCAGCACCACATTTCTAAGCTGTGACCTATTTTTTCCAGAAAGCTGAAGAAGGAAGGACAGTTTACTGCCCCCGCAGCTATGTACATGTTAAAGAAGAAATCAGACACTGCCAAATTTCTTGTGGTTTCTCTCAGCTGTAGATATCCTTCCACCAGAGCACCTCCTGTGCAAGCCTACCTTTTCCTCTGCCACCAAACAAGCATCATACCTGACACAGCAATTCACAGAGTCGCCTTTGAAGCAGTTCCCATCTCAGTACATTAGCAGTTACTATGAAGAGACATTTACAAGTCTTACAGGGCTCCTTAAAATTTCCTAACAAGTAGTCAGGTGTTACAGCATCTTTAGAACTGACAACTGCTTGTCACAAACCCATTGTACTTTGCTTTAGTCCGGTTATACCTACAACAGTTTTCCACAGGAAAGACTTAGAGTTATGAGTTCTGCCATACAGCAAACACTAGGCACTTTTCCTTCCCTTTAGCTACATTGCTCCTTTCTATAAAGGGCAGGGACAATGCTTCCCCACATTGTCAGCATCAAGTGCCACAGTTCCCTGTGACAACGGACAAGTCCCTTGTGACTTACTGGAGGAGAAGCATTTTACCTTCCAACTTAATGTTCAGAGTTGGAAAGGGACACACTATTTCTGTTGTTACACCTCTTACTAAAAACGCCAACCCCACAGTTTGAAGGGAGCAGTAAACACGAAAGCAACATGTGCAAGAGTTAATGGTGGCACATTACCAGCAGTTACTCACTTCTCTGCTCTTCCACCTTTTCCTGAAGTAACTGGCAAGTGCTTGATAAAGCTGCATTCATGTCCTTGAGTTTTTGCTGTTCAGAAATGGCTTCCTCTAACTTGCATTTCAAGGATGCAACTTCTTCACAAGCAGAGTGAAGGGCTTCAACTTGATCCTCCATCTAAGCACAAAACAATATTTTAAAAAAAAAAAAGATAACAGAAAAACAATAAAAATAGAACAGCCTGGCTAGCACGAGGAGTTTCTACAGCTCACACAAGTGAAGTCAAACTGCATCTGCTCATTATCAGGAAATGATAAACCTCCCTTTGAACTTCTGGTTTTTATGTTGGGGTGGACTATGTATGGAAGCTTTCTCCTTCCCTCTCTTTTAACCACTACAAATACACAATGCTGCCTCTTTAATCAGACAGCTGTCGTCACCACCCCATTAGCTTTTACTTTCTCCACCAGTTCCACTTTTGCAGGGAGACGTTCCATTCCAAACACGTGATTTCCATTCCCAAGATCCGTGACGCGCTGCACACAGACTTTTTCATCTGCTTGCTCTTTTCCCCGAGTAGAAGGAAACAGAACTGTCCCTTACCTGTTTGCTTGCATCCTCAAGCTGCTTTGTAGCTTTTTGCAGCTCTGAAGCAAGGGCTTCCGCCTGGCCAGAAGTTTCCTCTTGTAACTGTTTGACAGCTTCTATTTCGCGTTGCCTGCCGGGGCAAGAGAGCACAAACCACAGTCTGCTACTGACATTTTAGAGCCGGCACACCTGGGGGATGACACGCACTGGTGGTTAAGATATCCATCAAGAACCACCTTCAGCCGTTGCATATTGCAGCTCCCCAGAATCTGGCACTAGGGGATTTGGTTCTTGCTAAGCATAATTCACCCCAGTAGGCAGACAAGGCTTATCTATAACAGCTCCAGAATTAGGAAGCAGATTGAGGCTTTTCCCTGGTTTCTCCAGTTGACCAGTGCAATAGCTGTGCCAGCTGGCTACCATAGTGTAAGCCTATGGAATATCCAAAGGACTCTGAAAGAGCTACAGCTTCTGCAAATTTTTGCAGTTTGGTCAAAAGAATGTATTATCCTATGATTTGGAAAAAAAATAATTTGATATAGTCAATTGTTTCTAGAAAAGATACCCTCTGAAACACTGGGAAGTTAATCTGATGATGAAGCTGTGTATCTACAATAATAGCTCCAGTGTATTTCACTGGACAGCAAGCAGATGCCATCAGAACCAGCTTCAAGGAATCCCCTCTTTCACCGCAGAAGTTCTTTGCCCGTTACTTTCTCTAGCTCAGCTTCACAGGGTGGGGGGGTTTTGTGCATTTTCTTTTTTTCTTCTTCTTGCTACTACCACAAACAATTTTTGATACAGAGGAAAAGCTTTCAGAAACCAAGCCACCCGTATTTTTACCAGCTCTTTTTCAAGCTAAGAGAGAGCATGTGGGTGTTCTACATTAACAGCTTTACATGGAAGTTAAATCAGGCAGAAGCGCAGTGTGACTGCATGGTGACAACTGAAGACACATATGCTAAATGTAAAGTTTTGCAAAGGATAATAGAAGGCTGACACTGTGTAAGCCTGGATTCCACAAGACAACAAATTCAGATTAGTTGTTCTAGCAAAAAAAATAAAAATCAAAAAAACCCTACAAAAAAAACCCCACCACACACCCACTTGAGTAGATACTTCCCTGAATGTCTGAGGGAGGACGGAGGACAGGCAGAGGTTTACACCTGCTATCTTTTGCTGCCATATTTGTAACACCAAAACTCCTAGCAGGAAACGTGCCAATAATTTAAAAATCTGATGTTACATTTTCATAGAATGGCTAGAAATCCAATGTTATATTTTCATATTTAATGAGATAACTCCCTGAAGCTATGCAGTCAAGACCTTATATCACCTGTGGCTAGCAATTGTCTCCCAAAGCAATGACACCTGTAGGCATATGTTTTATGGGTCTTCTGCTTAACACAAAACCAGCAGTTTATTTAACGATTGCACCTGCTAGATAGACAGTGCTTTCTTGCTTTAACTGCTCTGTCTGTTGTCTCCCTGGTGTTTTCAAAAGACATCTTCAAGATCACATGTTACTTCATACACAAACCTTAGCTCTCCCTCATAGTGTAAATATTAGGCTAAAACCAGATCCAATCTCCAAAACAGCAGATACCTTCCTCTGGGAAAAAAAGTCTTCAAAATTTAGTAAACTTTTGTCCACACGACCAAAAAAAAAAAAACAACAAACCACAAAACCACCAACAAAGAAAAACAAACCAAAAATGTATACTGCCAAAAAAAACCCAAATAAACAAACATCAAAATTGAAAGACACACACATGCTTTGAGGGGTACCTGGCAGAAAGCTCTTTTCCCAGGTGAAATTGCTCTGTCTTGGTTCTCCTCAGGTTGCCTGCCATTCGAATAAAATCTTTCTCTAGGGTTTCTTTATATTTTTCCAGGAGATGAAGTTTCTGGATCCAAAGGTGTCTTTTTTCTCCTAGTTCTTGCCTGAGAACCTGTGGAATTTTGAAAGTGAGTTGTCATATGGTTATATGAAGAGCAGAGCCTGAGACTAATTCACAGCCCCAGTTTACATAGTTAGCATTGATTTCCCTGCTCCACCATTTAGTATCATCATCTGCATCCAAATCTTTTAGCAATAAAGAATGTGGATTGTTGTCAGTATTTTCTAATCTACTCACATAGCTTCAGGTTGGAAAGTCAGAGAGAGAAATGAATAAAAATACATTTTTAATGAGGAAATGATTATAAAAGAGAAATGCGTGTTTGCTTTGTACAAAACAGTGTTCTGTGCAGTCTAATAGATTAACAAAGCTACCTAAGCTTCAGATTTGTGCCTTTTAACTCCGGAATCTGATAGCATGGGGGAATCAGAGAGGCTAGGCTCCTGCCAACTGTTAGTACTTTACAACTTTGTTTTAATTATGCAATATATAACAGTTTGCAAAAGAAAACACAAGCCTTCTGTATGTCAGTTCAATTTGATAAATGGCTCCAACTTTTTTCAGAAAGTTACTTCTAAGTTGAAAGCCATTCTCAACCTTCCTTTCTGAGCAGATCTAGGGTGCACAGATAGCCCTCTTCCTCTTTAGCCCTTGTAAAACAAATAAACTGTTAGTAAGCATTTATAGTAAGCATGGTAGGAGATTACATAATGCACAAGGGAGTCTTCACCACTTGCTCTAGAAAAGTTCTATCACAAGATACTCAAATGCAGCAATAAAAAGCATATTTCATAAGGGGAAGTTTCATTAATGACCATCTTGCAGGAATCTTATAATTGATAAAAATTTAAACTTTTATGACCCTTTCCTCAAAGTACAACTAACCCCACTGCACCCATTTGAGTGCGTATTACAACAAAATGAAAAGAAACCCAAACCAATAAATCCACATTTCAGTTTGTCACACCCATCTAGCAGATGAAATCCAAGGGATGACCCCTATGACAAAGGCTTTCAGTTTTAACACCAATTTGTAGGAAGAAAAAGGGGAAGAGGATAAAAACAAAGTGCTAAGTAACATTGCGTTGTCTGTATTTCACTATCAGTGACTTACGGTATAAAAGTACTGAGAAAGAAGAATCCAGTCCTCTTTCTCTGACCTCATTTAAATGAGCATACAGAGTCTTCAGCTTTTAAGAATGCTTAAGGAGAATCAAACAGAGGTCAGGCAAGAAGGAGGCTCGTATTCCATACATTAGATCAAAGGAGAAAAACATCAATTTTGCAAGTAGGTAACATGGCACATACTTGTAAGTTAGACTCTAATGTTGTGAGCTTCAAACAACCAGTCAAAAAACACAACACCTTAAGACATCAGGTATATTGCATTAAAAAAACCCCAACAAGATAGCCTGAGCAGTTTACCAGAAAGGCATGGGATGGAATTGTGTGCAAATGTCCACAGCTTGAAGATCAGTTTCGCAGCCAAGGAAGGCAGCCTTTGCTCTTAAAATAACATGGTTTGGAAACATAAGGGGTACAGCTTTGTCAATGCATACATGCCAGCAGAAGAGAGAAAAAGTTTTTACTGTCACCACCGATACATGCTTAAATATATGCATATACACACAAAAACAAAGGCACACTTAAAATATGCTTTATATATAGCATACTTTAAAGCGTGCTTAAAAATACTGAAACCCAACAAAGTATGTCCATAACATATCTCACAGGAAAGGGTAGGGAGGTGTTTAGGCTTCAAGTGATATTGTATGCTACAAGTTTTAATTTTAATTTTTTTTTACAAAAGCTTTCTTTAGGCCTTTAAGAAGGTACTTGGAATTTATTTTTTTAGATGTTGTTTGGCTCCATATACCATATTTCACATGTATCCGACTTGTTCTACCTAGGTGAAGACAATATGTTTAACATTAAGTCACTTAGGTGGTTTATCACTTAAATGGTTTAGTGTTAGGGTGGTAGGTTGGACTTAATGATCTTAAAGGTCCTTTCCAACCTTTATGAGTCTATGACTTCCCATTCCAGCAGGTCCCAGAAAGGCAAGACCTTTTTTTTTCAGACGATCTTGTTTTTCCTCAATCCTCTGTTAGCTTAGTTTCCAAATGCCTTGCTCTCTAGGAGCCAGAAATAGGATACTTTTGCCATGATTAACTCAATACCCACACTAAAAGTTTTTAGCTTCATACGTTTAACGGGAGTATGATCTCAACATGAACAGTAAGTTAACAAGCTTTTTTGAGGTGTGACAGTATTGAAGGAGGAAGGTTTTAGTCAAGATGAAAAAGCTACATCAACCCATGAGCCAGCAGTTTCCGCAGAGTCTACCCATGGTCATACCAGGAATGAGAGACTGAGATGGTCCCACCTTCTTTAAGTGAAAGCTAGCTGCAGAACTGGATGACTCCAATGATTGCTCCTGCCTGCCCAGGAAGGATGAGTAGGGCCAGCTACAGTATTTTGCAGCACTAGAGGAAAAGCGTAGCTTACTGCTCAAAAGCTAACAGCTTAGAGCAGCACAGACTGTGGTGCCACCCGCTATTACACAAGTGGGTTTTTGCCTTTAGCAAAGAACTGAAAGAGAGAATTAATATATACTGTTCACTAGAGTTTTCTGTAGCAATGTTCCTAAAAACAGATTAGTAAGAAGGAGCAGGTTAGAGAAAAAGCTACATCTAGTAAGAAAAGAAAAAATTTCAGAAACCAGGCTGCTACATGGGAGGGAAGGAGGGAACAAGAGCAAGAGTTGAGCCATGACCACAGAATACTGTGGGGAAGTTCTTTTTTGCCAGTTACCTTGAGCAAAGGTCTTTCCTTTCAAGTCTCACAAGACATATGAGGAATAGTAAAAATACATTATATTGTAAAGTACATTTTTGTAGAAACTTCTCCTGTGGAGTGTGTCCAGCAAAAGCAGAACACTCTTGCCTTTCAAAAGCAAGCAAACTCTACAAAAGGTTTTGATTTGGTCACCTGGTTATAAAGACACCTCCCTCCTCCTCTTGATGGCAAAAGCATGCACTACCATAGTCAGATTCAGAGCACAGGAGAAAATGAGTGCTCAAGGCACACACAAATATGCAGTGGGCAGAAAAGCTTCACAGCTCACACAAAATAGTTTTGTTGTCTGACCTCATTTTTCTCTTGAAATCAACTTGCTTCATCTACCTTTTCTTTCAAGCATAGTTTTAACAAAGTCAGATATTGCACAAGTCAGTAAAAAGTATGGCATTTAAGTGAAAAGCAATCACCACCTTTCTCCTTCTCATAAACAAAAGTTCCAAGATATTTATCTTCATACATCCATCCCGACCTCCAAAAGGACTGCTGTGATCAAGTAACAAACCAAGCACACAGCAGTAAGATAACCACCTTAAATTTTTACATTGCCCCACTACTTCATAAAACAGCTTCACAGAAACAGTTACTTGCCGTAAGTTTTCTTTCCCAAGCCTGCTGCATGCTCATGTCAGCGTCTTTCACCCATTGTAAAGAAGTCATGACGAGCTCCTCTGCTTCAGAAGCTTCCTCTTGCTGAAAATGAATAAATAAAATCAAAGCCTGGCATTTCTACTGCTAGTCTGACACAACATTTCCCAGAATCACCCAAGTTATAAATTAAAGTGCTAAAGGAGGGGTCAAATGATATTGTTAGAGTACTCACTTGTGTGTTCACATCCCTCCCCTCCACTACCCCCCAAAGAAGCTATTCTTATTTTTTCAAAATAAGTAAATGTGACTCAATTATCAACATTTGAGGAAATCCTAAATCAAAAGGTTGACAGAAGACCACATCCGTATTCACATAAGATCAACCACTGACCAAGTCTTGCATGACAGTCTTAAATTTTTCTCCCACATATTCAGGTCCCTGAAGTAAAAACAGCACTTCACAATCCAGTGTTTCATCCAGAGACGTCCATTCAGTCTTGATAATCTTTGAAGAGATGGAAGAGCCAGGTAGCTTATTTTGGCATCTGATTACAAATCAGCATCTGTGACATTTAAACTTTCCTGAAATATGCCTGTATTGTATTTACCAGGAGGTCAGAGCTACTGAAACTTAGTTTTTCAAAATTATCATGACACAGGAATTTTAAATTAAAAAAAAAAAAAAAAAAAAAAGGGCAGCAAGCCCACCAAGATGCTGGCTTCTCCCGGTGTAAAAGTTTGCATTGTAAGCAAGAGGGAGTCAGTAGTTGGTTATCATTATTCAGAAGAGGCTTCACCAAATGAAGAATAAGCAGAACCCCTAGCTCCTTTACAGGTGATTTGGGGGAATGTGCCTCATCACAGCACTTGAGAGGCAATCACAGCCACTCGCTCTGGCTGTGGGAAGATGGAACATGGGACAATACAATACTTTTTAAATGAAGCTGCCTAGCTGAGAACACCTCTCATTTCTGGGCCTGTAGTTTTAGTCCATTAGTAGATTTTTTTTTCCTGTTGCAGATGTAACTCTTTACAAATGCACCACATAGAAAAAGAAGTAGCAGCACCGTGAAGTCTTACAAGATGCATCACTGTAATAGCACATATTTGTTATCTGAAGGGATGACAGCATTGTAAGGAAGGATAGGTCTTTCTTCTTTAGAGAAAGAAGTACAGAATAGAAGTACAGATAAAAATCTGAACTAAAACAATAATGTATTTTTTTCCCCCCAGTAGTTCTCCATTTGGGTGCTGGAAAGCTACAAGAACAGTAAATTAGAGAACAAACTTCCAGTGTTACATGAAGCGTGTCTGACCACAAGCACAGCTGCCAAGAGTCACCAAACCACACTGCTGGGTGCTCTGCAGAGGACACGGGGGACACGACAACTCCAAATCAACGGGCTCAACTGCAGTACGAAGATTTGTCAGCCTGCACCAGAATCACAAGAACGATCTTTCTCCTATGAGTCATTATCCAAGGGCCTCAGAAGAAAGAGAAAAAAAAAAAAAGAAAGAAAAAGCTGGACAGAACTGCCAATATCTGTCTCTTGCACTTGCTAAGAGGCAAAGGAACGGTACTTATGGACAGATGTTTATCTAAGTTAAAAGGATAAGTTAGAGGAAGACTACAACCTTGTCAAGGTGCTTAATTTTCTTTTTCACTACACTAGACTTCAAGGAAAAAGTCTCCCTTCCTGCAATTGGAAATTATTTTTTGTGTAAGGTGTAGGCAGCACAAGAAGCAGCAGACCATTACTTTCTTCATCATTAATAACAAATTTTGAAATTCTTCTCCTATCGGTCTGCTCTTCTGCCAGCTAAATGCATGACCCTAGCTCTTCCAGATTTCCTTTGTACTTCTCCAAGTACTTTGCTTGCTTTTCTTTAGATGAACTCATAACCTTCCCCTTCTGTGCTTGTGTGCTAAGACTAACAGCTTCAAGTCCCAGGATTATTAATGATCTACAGGGAATAAAGATTTGTTCTTTCTTTACCAATGCAAGACAACTGGGATGATAGTAAATAAAGATTTGACTCATACCTCTGAAGACTGAGCAAGCTCCAGTTCACAGTGCAGCGAATTTGTCCCTTCAGAAAGGTTGCTGTTAAATTTACACGATGGGAAACTCAACCCATTTCTAAAAGAAGAAGGGGGGAAACAAAAGAAAAAATATAAGCTTTATTTTTTAAAAACTTTCAATGAACCAGATTTCCTGGATTTTTTCCACAATACTCACAAGATCAGCTCTAGCTGCATGTGTTGCATGTTCTCCAGTAGCTTTTTTTTTTCTGCCTGCAGTGTCTAAAACATACATCAATCCTAGTTAGATTGCTGGTTTTTCATGCAGAATAAGCCTAGGATATGCAGGTTTTCCCCTCACATAGTCAAAAATTAAGGCTGGGTCACATACCTCTATTATCGAGGAGCACTCCACAACAGTTAACTTCAATTCTCTGATGGCCTCCTCCTTCTGCAGAGATTGTGGAGAAAAGAAACTTTAGAATACACAACCCAAGAACTAGCACACTGAAGTGCATCTCGTACTTAGAGCTAGGATGTTTTGTAACCAAAAGAATGCTCTACTCAATCCTATGTCACAGCAGTAAGCTATACAATTTAGATTTGAGCACCAACCTAATTATGCAACATAAAAATAGCTGCAAACCGAAAAGTAGACAATCGATTACCTTGCACATTGTCTAACAAAGCACTCAGAAGATCTTTTGTATGTAGCTCCTGAATTAAGGAGGCAGAAAAACCTCTTTCCAAGTGCTGTGTTTTACCTTATTACTTAACCTGGCTTCTGTACTAGCAGCAGCAGATTAAACTGGATGGAAGCATTCTAGTTATCACTGGAAAGCTGGGCTATATTATGCCTGGCATGAATTTTTATTCAAGCTATCTCTTAAAACAAGTTGCAGTGTTCAGAGTTTGCTCTTTTTAGTTTTCATTATTAAAGGCATAGAGTGTAGCGCTCTGCAGATTAAACACCCTCTTATGGGAGAGCTGATGGAGAACATATCAATCCCCACAGTGAGACTGTGGAGTTAGAAGTTTTCTTAGCATCACAAACTAGCAATTAAATTCAGTCATGTTTTGCCATTAGGATACGTTAGAACAGAGAGCACGGCACAGGCAAACAGAGCATTTCTTAGAGAAAACGGGTAGGAAAAAACTCCAGGTAGGAGCTCTGGTCCTCTCACCCGTTCTATGAATTCCTTTCCCCTTTGAAAACAATTGAAGTTTTTGAATGAAGAAATACACAGAAAGCTAAACAGGAGAAGTGAGTCTATGGAGCCAGGTTTCCAGCCTTGTCAGAGATAATTGTTTTATTGTGCTGAAGTTTGTGGGTGGTTTTCTTGTTTGTTTGGTTTCTTTTGTTGTTTGTGAGGTTTTGTATTTATTTTTTTTAAGGCTTGCTTTTCTCCAGGCTTGAAAAAGAAAGGCTGTCATGTTAAATTTCAGTGCCCATAAATTCTCTCCAATCTATCTCTGGATGAAGACCTATGAGAGGGGGTTTTGGTTTGTTTTTGTTTTTTTTTAAAAAAAAGCTAACACAGAAACCCACCAAACAACAAAACCCACACCCTTATCCCACAGATCCTAATGCCAACAAGCAAAGTCAATTTTCCCCACCAGTTTCTTCAAGGCTGTTTAAATGAGTCGCTTTCTTCTACAAGAACACACAATCTAGAAGTCTGCTTTTAAAACTCTCATTTAGTCACTAGACTAAAAAATCCTTTTTAATAGTAAAAGTATATTACAGAGGCTACAAGAGTTTTGAATCATTCGGGGACAAAGTGAAAGCTATTTTGGGGAAAAAAAACCCAACAAGTTGATTCATTTGTGTCATTAAACTGCTTCTGAAAACAAACAAAAAACCAAGCAAAAACAAACCTCCACAACAAAAACCCCACGAAACAAACTGCTATTAAAAAGCACTCGGCTGCAAGTGTTGGATGGCATAGAGATTAGTTTCTATCTTTGTCACTGTTTTACTTCAACCACACTCATTTTTGCAGGCAACCTAACAGTCAAATATTTCATCAGCTGATTTTGAACATGTTCTGCTAAATAGAAGCTCCACTACCCTATAGGGTTATTTGCCTAACTCACAAATCCAGAGAATGCCAACACCCTTAGGTAGTCTTATGTATTTGGTTTTTAACACAAAGTAGAAGATTAAAAACGACATCAGAAGTGTTCGCTCTCCAGCAGAGCCTACTGAGCCTTGTCCTTTGAGAAAGGACAAATTTGCTTTTCTGTTGAGCTCTGAATCACTATTTCTAGTTCAACAAAAAATTAAGCAATTTAAGTAAAAGACAAAGCAAAGGATCTTCTGCATTCTTTTAGCAACTGTTGAAGGAAGTAGACTTTAGAAGTTTCTGTTAATTTTTCTAAAGTTTGTAGGTTTGGTCTGTTTTAATAGGTTGGGATTTTCCATTTGGTTTTTTTTTTTCTTTTAAACTGGAAAAAAAAATGCCAAAATCTTTAGTTATGTGGGCTCACAGCCAGGTCATAAAGCAGATTTTTGCCTGCTTTGAAGCCATTTATAGAATGAAGTTCTGTAGTGTGAGAACAGTAAAACCAAAAGTGCCACAGTGAAGACTATTTCATTATCATCATACAAATAATCCCATAATCACTATTTTCATCCAAGAATTAAAAGCAACTAACCTGCATCAAGCTTGCCTCTTTATTCACCACTGTGTTCTCATAGAGATGTGCTTGGATCTAAAGAATGAGAAAATCAAAAATAATTCCAGCCATTGGTATGTATCATCATACAAGTTTGTTCTTACCTCCTACTTGGAAAAGGGGTATCAACATTCCTTGTTTAGAAAAATAAAATTCTTCTTTGAATACCTTGCACAGTGTGATTCAAACTGTTTGTGATTCAAAGTCCAAACAGTAAACGCAGTGCTTAGATATATGGTTTAGTGTTAGGTTAACAATTACACTCAATGTTCCTAAAGGTTTTTTCCAATATAAGCAATTCTATGAAATCTTGTAAAACAGTTAAAAGTAAAAGCGTTCTCATCTTTCAGAGTCACCTTTTTTTCTTCTTGTCTGTCCAGGCTAATAATTTCAGCAACGTTGGCCAAAACACGACTCTCTAATGTATTTTCTCAAGTAGTGGGGAAAAAGGTTTCCTCAAAGTTTGACTTGGAGGAAAAAATGAAGTTGACCTTTTATATTAGCCGAGTGTTTAGCCTCCAGACAGCGACCTTAGTCAAAGGTACGATTGTGCTGCATTTCTTTAAACAGAGTTTCAGGTCTGTCTATCTTCCACAGGGAGAAATTCCTCTTGACAGACCTGAGTAAACTACAGTTTGTCTTTTTATTCCTCCTAGAGTTGAAACACTTACCTGAAGCTCCGCTGCACTTTTAGACAGCTCCAAAATCTTCTTTTTAAGTCCGTTGTTGTCCATCCTATTTCTAATATTCTGAACAAGATACAGTGTTTAGGCACAACTGAATGGATTGACAGCTTGTCCTTGAAGAAATTAGGCAAAATGACATATTTATGCCCAAGATACTGCCCACTCTAAAACACTACCCACATTTATGCACATATGATGTATGTGCTTGTCCCAATGAAGCTGTTTCTCCTACATCTCCCCCTATTTCAGAAAGGCTGACCTTGATCATGGTAAACACGCAAAGGATGATGACTACCACATTGTTACAGTGGATAATAGATTCCTGAATCCATGAGGTGCTTCTTTTCACTGGTACATATGATTTAGCCTGTTTCTCTATTTCATCCTAAATAGTCTAAAACACAGGCTGCAAGCAGTATCACCTGATAAAAACTCGTTTATTTTGTTAAATATTTTATTTATAAAATACTTAAAGGGAACCTATAAGAAAGATGGAAACAATCTTTTTAGCAAGGCCTGTTGCAACATAACAAGGGGCAACAGTTTTAAACTAAAAGAGGGTCGGTCTAGACTGGATATAAGGAAGAAATTTTTTTTTACAGTGAAGGTGGTGAAACACTGGAGCAGGTTGCCCAGATTGGTGGTGGATGCCCCAGCCCTGGAGACATTAAAGGACAGGTTTGATGGGGCTCTGAGCAACCTGATCTAGTTAAAGATGTCCCTGCTCACTGCAGGGGGAGTTGGACCAAATAGCCTTTAAAAGTCCCTTCCAGCCCAATACATTCTGTGTCTATGAATAGTTCTCCTAAAAAAAAAAGAAAAAAAAAAAAAAAAAAAGAGAGAGAGAGAACCTAGACACATTGTTCCATAAGACGTATATTCCCTAACAAGCCTCATGAAGATCCCTGTCCAGTGTCAATGGATACATCTGTGGGGGGAGTCCCTAGTCACTGCAGGTTTTTTTGGTTACAGTCCTACAAAGGGCTCCTCTTTTGGATCTTAGAGGGAAACAGAAGTGAATATGAAATAAAAAGTGTTAGATGGAGATTATTTCAACATAGAGTTAGAATGTTTATAATGATGTTAACTATAAATATTCGGAATTGTTCCACAAAGCTTTAAAGTGGGGGAAGAAAGCTGTTTGGGGAAGTATGGGGGACAGAGGCAATCTCATATCCTTACTCACCCAACAAATAGAAAGTATGATTCACAGTGCAAATTCAACATAAACTTTTATGATAAGTCATCCTTGTAAAATATAAGATATTTTGATAAGTTAATTAGCATGTCAGGCTTCCAAGTCTGACAAGTATTTCATTTCTTAATGGTAAGTGTTTAGTAAGAAAAGTCATGATCTGTTTTACCTCTTCCTGGAGAGAAGTAATTTTGATGATGAGAGACTGATTTTCTTTTTCCTGATCAGTTTTTCAATAGAAAAAGAGGAGGGAAAAACCAAAATAGTTGGGTTTAGCACATCACATTCAACATTCAAAGTCAAACTAAGTCAAGAAGTAACAAACAGACAAAAACCAACAAAAGACAAAAAATAAATCCAGTGCCCAATATGAAGCTGTAGTGTTGCATTCCTTTGCTTCAGCAAGCACAGCAATAAGGGGAGAGTGCTGAAGCTATTCCAGCTCACAAATGCTTGCTGAAGGGTTTGACACAAGAATTTTGAATTAGAGTACAAGTGAGACCACTAGATGACAGGAAGGAGGGATTTGAGGCCAGAGGGAGTAAATCTAGTTGCGCTCATGCTTTGAGTTCAGACAAACCTGGACAGCCCAAACACCACGTTACACTTTTTTTTTTTTCTCCACATGAAAGAAAGGCAGTAGCATCTCACTCGGTGCCTCCATTGCACAGGAAACAGTAACTAACAAACTTAGAAGCAAAACTACAAAACTTCTGCTAATGTTTCTTGGACAACACCTGGAATGCAATTCAAATGCTCTGATGTAGGCAACTCATGCCCTTTGAGTTGTGCCAAGGTGCGCAAGCCTGGCTTCCAGCCACCGGTCCAGAATAGGCAAGTTTCTGATAGACCCTAATCATATCTAAGAGCCCATAAGGACATTGGCAATAACCTAGAGGCACTTGGGAAAATTTATTTTTGTGTGTGGGCATCTGAATCGAGTCTCCTGTCCCTTCTGGTTTGTAGAAATTCGAGTTAATTCCTGGCAGAATATCACCAACATCAAAATGAACAGGGCTCAGTGATGGCAGCATGAGAGCTGCTGCTTTCCAGCATAATTAAGTGAAAGACTGGCCCTTTGATTGTTTTCTTATTGTAATTGACAACAATTTAAAAGAAGCTCCCCTTCAAAAAAAAAACAAACCAACTTCAGTGCTTTCCTAACACTAATACATCACATATCAAAAAGCCTCAGCACCTAGTGGTACAGAGAAGGTCATGATTTTTACAGTTTGAACAATCATGTTATGGTTAAAGCATGAGATCCTGTACAACAGCTAAGAAATAAGAGCACCTACTAGCTGTTTATTCTGGCAGACAATCTGCTGTCTCTTCTCTTCTGACAGGTTCAGGCTGGTTTTTGCTTCTTCTAGCTCTTCTTCCAGTGATTCGGCTTTCAGTACAGAATGCTGAGTGCTGCATGGGGGGAATGAAACCCACAGAAACTTCAGGAAGTTTCTGCTGGTTGTTAGGTAAGCTTGAAATACTAACAACAGTACTTTTTAGAAGCCACAAGGGACCTATTCTTTGGCACAGATACTTAACAGAATTGCAAATATCAAGTTTAAGCTCATCATTATTGTCCAGTAAGAAAAGGCTCAAGGGACTTATCATTTATTCATCACTCCCTTCTACTCTCACAGTAAGGGATGAGACCTCAGTCTAACTTGTTACAGTGAAATATGTCAGGTTACCTGAACATTTCAACTAATCTTTACGTTATTTCATTGTTAGCAGTTACAGAAACCATTTCAGTTCAGTTTTCAAGGATAAACTCTGCATCATTTTCTTATCCTGATCTGATATCCCAAACAACATATATTTAACCAATGGGGCAAGTTCCTGTTCCTGGCTGGCTTTAGGCTGCAGAGCGCCCTAGAGTACATGGCCCAACACGAGGGCACATGTCCCACACCAGCTACACCCCAGTACTCTTGCCTTATCTCCTCTGGAAGCACTGGGAGTGGTTTGGCAGCTGACGTAACCATATTGAATTAATTGGATCAGATGAGCATTATGTAAAGAAAGGCTCATACCTGTAAAATTAACATGTTCCGAGGCTGCAGGCATACTAAGCTAGTGAGATAACTCATTTTAGTTCCTCAAGGGAATAGGCAAAATAGCTCTTACTGTGCTCACTTCCCTTGGCAGCAAGTGGGGGGCTCTAGGATTGGAAGTCTTCTGGTGCCTGGCTGTTCTCTTGGTATTAGTCACTTCTTTGTTCATTTGCTTTTGTTTGATTTTGCTTTACACTAAGATTTTTCCTGTGTGTACCTGCACAGCACCTCACACTGCAAAAGCCAGGCTATGAGCCACATGACTGACTGTATAAAAGCCAGAAGGTAGAGGAGAACAACCAGGCAGGAAGGTCAAACCTTATAGATACTAGTGCTTCAGGACAGTAACTTTCCTGACTTAACGTAGTAAGCCTAAAAGCATAAAGAAAGGCTGGGCCATTTGAAGAAGAAAGGTGGGCCCATGGCCATTACACTCTACACCTGGTGTCATCAGCACGTCCCACCTTTTTATTTGTTGACGCAGATCCTCGTTATCTGCCAATAGCTTATTGTTGGCCTCATCCACAGCTTCCAGCGTGAGCTTCAGATTTTTATTCTCTTGCTGTAGTTTCTGGTTCTTGTACTGCAGATCGGCAACACAGGTTATCAAGTCTGAAGTCTCCCTGTTCCAGTAACAAAACCAGGGAACTTTGAGAAAAGTGATTTGATCTAATTTAGACTTTCTAAAAATCTCAGCGTTGTTCTTCGCTGATTAGAGAGGCTAGAGGAGAACCCACAGAGGATTTGTAACCCTGCAGTATACAGCTATTTGAACAAAGATACCAAGTCAACTTCAGATCAGTTCTCTAATTCTATGGAGACCAGGAACTGTTTTGTTTTCAAGCACTTTTTTTCACGCTCCCTGCAACTGGAAGCATGCCACCAGACAAGTGCCATATCTGGATGTCTGCATGACACTATTTTAAGCTTTTTCTAGTCTCCTCTTAGGCTACCACTAATACTTTTTCATTAACTCTGCAGTTTCTGGAGCCTTTTTTTCTGCCCTAAGCCCTTCCCCACTCAAGCTTTTAACTGAAATTTGAAAAAAGTCATGCTTTTGAGATCCTGAGAAACAATAAGGAAGCATCACAAAGCAGATTTTAAGATCTTTTTGGCTAAGTGTAAAATGCAAAAAATATCTTTGAAATTTCTGGTGTTTAAGTGCTTTGCTGCCAACAGAATGTAAGACAGTCGTGATGACAAAAATAAAACCCCAAACAAAGCCAAGGATCAGATTTTCAGGAAATAACATCTTCTTATTGTCATGCACCTAAGAACTTGGGGGAGAGAATGAATCAGTTTAAAAAGAAAAGAAAAAAAAAAAAACACCACGTGACAAAACACTGACCACAAGGAATTAAAAAAAGCAAATGGATACAGAAGGATCAAGAGATGAACAGGAAAAATTACCAGTGTGTCGATTTTGCTTTACCCTAAAATTTTGCCTAGGTGCACCCACAGCACATCATGCCTCCGCAGAAGCTGCGAGGAAGCATCAAAAGCTAGTGCAGACTGAGGTCAGCATTAGAAACTCTATCAAAACAGTTTTCTAAAACAGTGGTTCTAGAAATTGCTCTCAAGTAATTCAAAGCTAGGAGTACTAAATTCTGAGAAAGAAGAATTGTTTAAATTCCATGATTCTATAAAATGGACTTACATGTCTCCTCTAGACACATCACCTCCAAAGGCCTCCAAGCTTCCCGATGTAATATTCATGCAGACATAGCTCTTTTTTGCTGGAAGAGGCGAGAGCTTTAGTTACAGAGTAAAAAAAAAGTGGCGTTTTCCTGAGTAAAAATAGAATGAAGTGGTATGCACCTTCAGAGGTATTTTTATGCATTTTAAATTCCAGGTCTTCCATGCTTGCTCTTGGTTCCTCAGAGGCACCATCTTCCCTGAAACAAAGAAGTACCAAGAGTCACCAAATCAGTACATCACTGATTGCTTACCAACTTTCTAACATTTAAAAGCTTTCAGCCAAGACTCACACAGTGGTCACAGTGTCCTGAGACATCTTTGAATATGGAAGGCATAAGCCACAGGAGAACTTTCTACTTCTCTGCTTTCATAAAAGATTTTATAACTTAAATTGATAAAAAGCAATTACCATTTTCCCTTACAGTCTTCAATCCACTCCTTCATGATGGCGTGAAATGTTTCCAGGTCCATGGAGACATCTTTCTGATCTGGGTCAAGCATGTTGCACAGCTCTTCAAGACCACTGTCTTCCG